TATTACAAACTGTGCCACTATGAACATGGGTGCACATATTTCACTGTGGTATGATTCTTTTAATTCTTTGGGGAAGATCCCCAGCAGGGGAATAGGTGGGTCAAATGGAACCTCTAGTCCTAGTTCTTTGAGGTATCTCCACATTGACTTCCACAATAGTTGCACCAGTCTGCACTCCCACCAACAATGGAGATAGTTTCCTTTCTCCCCACAACCCCACCAGCATTTGTTATTTGTTGATTTCTTGATAGCAGTCATTCTTTTTGGGGTGAGGTGGAATCTCAGTGTTGTTTTCATTTGCATCTCTTGAATGACGAATGATGCTGAACATTTTTTCATATATTTGCTGCTTTTACTTCTTTGTCTGAGAAATGTCTGTTCATTTCAGATGCCCATTTTGAATTGGGTCTTTGAATTTGGGGGGGGTCTAATTTTTTTCATTTCTTTATATATTCTAGATAGTAATCCTTTGTCTGAGGTACAGCTGCCAATATTAGCACTTTTAAAAACAAATTTATTTGTGTATTAAATGCCTAAAAATTATTCCCATTTTGGGTGAGTAATAACTTCTATTTTGAGACTTAAAGATATGTAAAATATAGCCTGAATCCTTGAAAAAGTATTAAGGATGATAGATACTTTTAAAAGTAGTAAAAAAGCATTAAGTATAAAATATTCTGACAGATGTTAGAAGTAAAAAATGAAGGAAAGTCTTAAAAGATAACCATTTTGAAGGTAAAACAAGAAGACAAAATCCACTACAGGAATGGGAATAAAATTAGCAAAATCCTAGAGGTGCTAAAGCATATGGTGTGTTTAGGAAAAAATGAAGCAACCCAGTGTAGTTTTGCTATGTGATGAGGGACAGTGGATTGAAGAAGTAGCAGCCAGGGGTGAGACATAAGCCTTGGCATAACACTATAAGGATAAGCCCTGCACTCAATGCTACAGTATTTTGCAATCTGTTCATGAAAAGTTTCTTAAGAAAAGCCATGACTTTGGGGAAAAAATTCTGGGGAATATATAGAAGAAATGCCACAGTAAAAACAAAACAAAACTGGACATAAGAAAATTAGTTGGAGAGCTCCCCCACCACCATCCCATGCTCCTAGGGCAGAGAAGCTGAGCCGATCCCAGCACCCGGAAGGAAGTTCCCCCGCCGCCATCCCAAGCTCCTAGGGCAGAGAAGGTGAGCCATGCGGCCACCAGAAGCACCCCCCCCCCGTGGAAATGAAAAGACACGTAAAGAAGCCTCAAAAACAGACTTCTGGATCACCCACAGCAACCCCAAAGGGAAACAAGATGGAACAATCTGATACTCAACCACCTGGACTCTCTGAACTGGCAACAAAAGAGGA